CATAAATTTTGTTCCAAATGCCAAGTAAGATAGGATTTCATCTGTTGGTACTTTAGTGGTCATCCTCAAGGCCTATAGCACCCTTGGTAGTTCATCAATCCACTTCCCCTTTGCTTCATCTAGTTTTTTTTTTTAGGGTTTCTAATTTTATCTTGTATGTGGCTTCGACCTATCCATTAGATTGAGGGTAGGCAACCAACATAAATCTCAGATTATGTGAAGGTTTGAACATCATTCTTTGAACCTTGAGTTTTTGAATTATTTGCCATTTTTATTTTTTATGGATCGAAATAGGCTGAATCTACAAACTATATTCTTTCATACAAATTTCTTGACTTAAGCTTCAGTTATAGTAGCTAAGACCTCAACTTCAAGCCATTTCATAAAGTGGTCTACTGCTATTAAGACAAATTTTTTCTGACCAGTGGTTGAGGTGAATGGTCAAAAAATATTCATTCTCCACTGCATAAAGGGCCATTGACTGATGATAAGAGTGAGATTGGTTGAAGAAAGATGTTGCACATGAGTAAATCTCTAACATTTATCATATCTTAACTAGTTTAGTTGCATCTCTTTTGATGGTAGGCCAATAATAGTCCTATCTAAGCATTTTGTAAGCTAATGATTGAGGTTAATGGTGGTTTTCACATATTCTTTTATGGATTTTTTGCAGGACGTAGTTTGCTTTTTCCTTATCAATGTATTTTAGATAAGATAGGCTAAAATTCTTTTGTATAATTTTTTCTTGATTATCGTGTATTAAAAAACCTTACCCATCAATTTTTTAGCTCAGATCCTATATTCAAATTGTGTTCCTATGGTTAGATATATTTTAATTAGTGTCATCCAAGTTTTTTTTTTTTTTCATGATCTAACCTACAAACTCTTTTTCAATGGTTTTGTGAGCCAATCCTTTTACCAAGGCTTGATCCGAGCTTTTTGTCATCATTCTTGAAGCCAACTTAGATAAGAAATCTGTCAGTGAATTTTTAGACTTTGATATCTTTTTTACCTCTACCTTTGTAAAACTGGCCACCAAGGCTTATGCTTTATCCATATATTTTTAAATTTATTTTTTCGAGCTTTGAACTCTTAATTTATTTGATTGATCACTAATTGAAAGTCATTATACATGGTTATATATTGAACATTAAGCTCGGTTGCTAATCTTAAGCCAGCTATTAATGCCTTATATTTCATCTCATTGTTAGATGCTTTAAAATTAAATCTCAAGGTGTATAGATATTACAATCCTTCAAAGCTTATTAGAATGAGGTCGGCTCTTCCACCATGGTTCAAAATTGATCTATCAACAAGAGTTTCAAACTTTCCTAATATGGAGTTTGCCTATTTTTCTCAAGTTATCTTTCAAGGTAAACCGAAGTGAGCTCCATAACAAAATCCGTTAGCAACTGAGATTTTAAAGCTAATTTCGGTAATATGTGTAGGTCAAACTTGCTAAGCTTTACTACCCACTTGATTAACCTCTCTAATATTTTTAGCTTTTGTAAGACCTATCTTAGTGGTTGTCAATACATAGATCACATGGGTTTGAAAATACGGCCTAAGTTTTCTAACCGAAGTGACAATTGCATAAGCTAATTTTTCTTTACCACTGTAGTTAATTTCCAACCCTATCAATACTTTATTCACAAAATAGACTAATTTTGCTTCCCTTTTTCTTCACAAACTAATATTGAGCTAATGGTATGATTCGTAATTGCTATGTATAAGAATAAAATTTAATCAAGTCTTGACTTAGATAGGATATGTAGAGAGGATAAAAATCCTTTTAGTTTTTTAAAAGCTTTGGCACTGAGGGATCCACCTGAAGTTAAAAATATTTTTGAAAATTTTGAAAAATGACAGACATCATTCTGTCGACCTAGACATGAATTGGCTTAAGGTGGCTATTCTTTCAATTAGCCTCTGTACTTCTTTTACTGAGGTCGATGCCTTCATGTTTAAGTTGTTTGAACCTTTTTTGGGTTTACCTCTATCCTTCTCTTATTCATCATATAACCAAGAAACTTACCCAACATGACCTCGAAAATACATTTACTCGAGTTAAGCCTTATATTATACTTTCTCATGATGTTAAAGGTTTCTTTAAAGTTTTTCAAGTGCTCGATCAAGCTTTTACTTTTGACTATCATGTTGTCCACATATATTTTTATGTTGCAATTGATTTGATTTTTAAACACCTTGTTAACTAGCCTTTTATGAGTCACCCCTGCATTTTTCAATTCGAAGGGCATCATTTTATAACAATAAAGGTATTTCTCAATAATAAAAGCTATTTTTTTCTCATCATCTTTTAGCATTTTCATTTGATTGTAACTAGAGTAGGCATCCATAAAGCTAAGAAGACCATATTCAGCACTATCATCCATTAATGGATCTATACTAGGGATGAAAAAGCTGTCTTTTGGGCATGCTTTGTTCAAATCGATAAAGTCAACACACATCCTCCATTTTTCGCTATGCTTTTTTACCATGACCACATTGGCTATCCATTCAGGGTAATAGACTTCCCAAATAAAGCTTATTTGTAATAATCTATTGACCTTCTCTTTGACAACCATTTGTCTGTCTAGGGTAAAAGTTCTTTTCTTTTATCGAATTAGTTTTACCTTAGGATTAGTATGCAGCTTATGGACCATAACCTCAATATGAATTCCAAGCATATCGTATGGCGTCCAGGCGAACAAGTTAATATTATTTCTCAAATTTTGAATCAATTGATCCTTGTGCTAAAGTTTAGTTTTGATCTGCATGTGTTTTTCAAAGACGTTATCTCATAATGATATAATTATGAGATTTTTAACCAGTTCAGGTCAATTTTCATCCAAGTCTGATCTTTGGTCAATTATCTTTTTTTTGTTTGGTTAGGTCAACACCATTTCCTGTTAAAACAGATTGTAACTTTATAATTAATATATTATTGGTGACTTGATAAAATATATGGTTGAATTGGTACGTATTTTTCATTTTAAGCTATATTTTGGTTGGCGTATTAGCTCAATCCAAATTACATGTAATTGTTTACGCCAGCCTAAGAGCTCGATCATCTTTAGAGTTACTTCAAAATTCAAAAAATGGAACAAAATATATCTTTTTATTGACGCTGAAAAGCTTAAAATGGCTTAAGAGCATGCTTCCATCAGATCGATCTTACATTGTATGGATTTTTTCGTGGTTTTTTACTTTTTCTATGTTTTTGCTATTTGTCTTTCTTCAATGCTCTTAGTTTTGGTCGAATTGCCAGTTTATTTCCCAGTACTCCCTTTCACTATTGTGACATAACACTATCGTATTATGAACTAGTTTCTCCTAACCTTACCAACCCTATTGTGTGTTAAGAATTTTACTTTTAGATAGGGAGCTAAGCTTATAAGTTGTATAACAGATTGGCTAGGTCAACCTAATATTATATTGTAAGCAGATGTGCTATTTACAATCATAAATTCTATGATCGAGGTAACATTCCTCGATTTTATCCTAAAAAAAATCAGTAACTCGATTGATCTTTTCACTGGTACCTAATCATTCCCAAATCCCACTAGTGTTGTAATGATTGGTTGCAACTGGCATTCACTAATTTCCATTTTTGTCATGGCGCCTTAGTACATGATGTCAGTCGAGCTCCCGTTATCGAATAGGATTCTCTTAACTACATAGTTATATACTATAGCTATGATTACTATGACATCATCATGTGGATGCTGAATTCTTTCTAAGTGTTTTAGGCTAAACGAGATCAGTTCATCTTTCTAGTCTTTTTTTTTCTTTGTCGAAGTGCCCACGGCTATGATCATGCTTGGATTGAACTTTCTTTTAACCTGCCTCCTATAATCATATTGATCATTATAGCAATTGACCTACTATTATTAGTTTGACCTTCTTTTCATCTTAACTCATCTTCTTAGACTCTCTTCTTCCATTTTTTAGCCTTTCTTCCCTACCTCAGTTAGGCTTTTTTTGATCTAGTCTGTAATACATTTTAGGTTAACCTTATCTTCGTTGCTATACAAACCTCATTGATTGGTTTCTCCTAATCATAGCTTAGATTTCATTTTTTAGGTCAATATAGTCTTTAGTATTATAACTTGTGTCTTTATGAAAGGCACATCTTTTAGCTGGATCCCTCCTTATATTCTGTCTCAGTGGCTTTGGCCATAGGAGATCGAAATTTCTTTCAATTTGCATCAAATTCCTCTCTCAAGAAGGTATTCAGCATAGTGTAGTTTCTTTTTTCACTGGCACTTCTAGCCCTATGTCTCTCTCTCTTAGAAAAGGATTATAGAAATCATTACCTTTCTTATGACCGTAGAGGGGGGATAAGCCTTTCTCAACTCGGTTGTTTCTCATTGTAACTTCAGTATTTATATATTTTTCAACTATTAGTAAGATGTCAGCCAAAGTTTGAGGTGTTCTAGTGACAAGATTAACTTCAAATGGTGCTCTCTATCATTGACTTCACTTGTTAGGGCAGTTACAGCAACCATTTGCTTCAAGTCTTTTACCTGCAGAGCTTTCACATTAAAACACATGACATAGCTCTTCAAAGATTCATTATGACTTTGGTGGATTGACATTAAACTCAAAGTTATCTTTTTCGTTCTTCGACTACTTATAAATCAAGACAGAAAAGAATTGCTAAGTTTTCTTAACATTGTAATCTACCTCAATTCCAAGCTGTTGTACCAAGATAGAGCAACGCCCTTTAGAGTGGTAGCAAAGCCCTTATGCATCAAAGTTTTGTTTGCATTTTGCATCATCATGTTAGTCTTATAAAGTTTCAAATGATCGAAGAAATCAGAAGTATTATTGTGGGTTTCTAAAACCAGCATTTCCTTTGGGAGGCATGACTTTATCGATCTCTTCAGTAAAGGATGAAGTCTCAAGAAATTTAAGCTCACCCTTAAATCCCATTATCTTTGTTTTCAGCTCTTAAATAAAATTGATTTGGCAGCAATCATTTAGATCGTCAGATTTCAAGCATTTCACCAAATACCCTCTTTCAGAAAGGAATATGTTTAAGGTAAAAGGCTGATGTTGCCCTCGGTGGTCCCTAAGCTGTTTTGCAAGAGAATTAGGCACTGAAGTTTCAAAATCCAGTGCTAGAGACGGTAAGCAGGCAGAGGTTAAATGGAGTGCAAAACTAATAATTGCAACAGACAGGGACGGAATTAAATATTGGTATGTCCTATATGCTTTTTTGTTAGCATGTTATACTTTGGTTTTTTCATTATTTAATATGAGTTTTGATAAATTTCAGACCACGAAAATGCAATTAAGTGCAAAATAGTAATTGAGCGGACAAATTTGGCTGCTAGACACTCACTTTCCTTTGCTACAATAAATTAATTTTTTGAAGCAATGGTTCGGATTTGACGATTAAAAAAAAAAAAGAGTAATGATTCTGAAAAATTGGGGGAAGTTTGAAAGGACTGCTCGGTAACTTGGCTCTGGCATTTTAATGAACATTTACCGTGCAATGCCTAAAACCATCCTATGCAAAAATGAATTGACGAAGGGCACGTCCCTGTCAAACGTATCGTTTAAGGACGAAAGAAACGGAACGACGCTGTGCTAGTAGATTTTATCACTGCCTACTTCTGAAAACCGCAAACCCAGGAAAAGAGAATTGCCGTACGAGGTTATCCCTGGTGTTTTTTCCAGGGAAAAGAGGAATCGAAATTCTGAGGAACCCAACGGAGCCAAAGGAGTCGACTTTTTTTTTCTCTGTTTGTTGCTGGGAAATGCAAACCTTAGGACCTTTACGACCTCGATTCCCGGAGCTCTTGAAGCGTCCTTGGCTTATTAAACCATTTAGCTTGAGAGCATTCTCGTCTATACCTCCTTCTGATTACTCCAACCAGTCTCGCGGTGGCCTTCCTCGCTTCTTCTCCGAAACTCTTCCTTCTTCCAAGGCAATCTCTTCTCTTTATCACTGTATTTGTTTCTTAGCCAAAACTTGAAATCTTTATCTAATTGTTTTCAAATTTATGAATGCAGGGCGGTGTTATTCGCGTACAAGGAGATGAATTTTGGCATATAACTAAAGTTTTAAGGTTGAAAACTGACGACAGGTACTCCTTATCATCCCTTCATCAAACAATTTCAAATTTTCTTCAGATTTGTAAGTGTATTCTATATGCTAAAACCTATAAAAACTCTGGGTTTTGCTTCAATTCTTCTAATTTCTTCTTTTTAAATTTAATAAAAAAAATTGGTGGCGTGTAAAGAGTAGAGCTCTTCAATGGAAAAGGAGGTCTAGTAGAAGGGTTCATTCAAAACATTGACGGCACCGCAATTGATTTTGTGGCTTTGGAAGATCCAAAGCAAGTTCTTCCACAGACCCCACAATGGCATGTATTTGCTGCTTTTGGTAAGTTTTCAAGTTAAAAGGAAAATTGCATTGGTAAAATCTGTTTCATTTGCTAAATCCTGCTCCTTTTTAGGTTCACTGAAGGGTGGTCGAGCTGACTGGCTTGTTGAGAAGTGTACTGTATGTTTTATGGAAATACAAACATTCTGTACCTATATTTATTTCTTTTTATTTTGGTTATGTTACTTTCTAATCATGTTTTGTTTTCAACATTCTAGGAACTGGGAGCTAGTAGCGTAACACCTTTGCTCACTGAACGTTCTTCTGCTATCTCTGACAATAGGGTGGAAAGATTGCAGCGTGTCATGTTAGCAGCGTCTAAACAATGTATGTTTGATTTTAGTTATATCGGTGACATATATTTTCTGATTAATTTACCTTTTATTATCATGTTAAATGTTGATATTTGCATCAGTAGAAGTCCGGTTGGAGTATCTTAAGGTATTATGTGTTTTTCTTCTCTTTCATTCCCTTACCTCCTGTCTTGTTAATTGTGATTTCTTCTTCTTGTAGGCCAACGTTTGCATGAAATGAAATTGAATCATCCTATGAAGATTGACAAACTTGTACCTCTTGTGAGTTCTTCCTTTGTTATACTTAATTGTTTATTAAATTTTATAGTTACTTCTTCTGCGAGACAACATTTTGTGATGCTGATATTCAAATTTCAACATATATTTTGTTAGCAAGCACTTCCTTAAGTTTACGAGTGATTACTGATTTTAGTTATATTTTCTTCTAGTTTTTGAGTTGTAGGTCCTTAAAAAATAGTTATTTGAATATATATGTTTCACATTATTTTATTCAGGATAAGTATAACTTATTTCTTTCCTCATTTTTTCTTGAACTTAAAAGTCCTTTCTCCCCTCTCTTTTTACTTAATAGGTTGCCAAGTCAAAGCTGTCTTTTATAGCCATAGCGGAAGCTACTCCTCTAGTCAGTGCATTGACTTCAGCGATAAAGGAACCTAGTGGGCTGATAATAGTTGGACCAGAAGGGGGTTAGTAATTTAGTATGCATATCATATTGGTCGTATCCTTTTGCTGCATTTGCAGGTGTGAATGATCATTTATGGGAAGAAGCTGGTACTCTAATTGACTCTCTTTCTAAATAGAACGAAGAGAAAACAATGTTGAAAGTGTAGAGAATCAAATCAATCAATGTAGTATGGATTATGAGTCCAACAGTTCATATCCTTATTTCTAATTTTGGAGAAGTACTATTTAGATTGGTTTTCTTCAATACTTGAGGGTTTCTGGTTTCTTTTGGAAAATGTAAAGAGCATTAGTATGACTTGTGATTATGGTGCTTCAGACTTTTCAGAGAAAGAGGTGAATATGATTAAACAAGCAGGTGCTACCACTGTTGGTCTTGGGTCTCATCGATTGCGTGTTGAAACTGCAACTATAGCTATTTTGGCAACCCTAATGCTATGGTCTGACTCTCAGAAAATCACCAACCCCTAAGCATTCATGCAGGTAGTTCTTATATTTTTGTCTCTTGTATTGGTGTTGCAACTTCCATATTGTCTCATTTATATGTTCAAGATGCAGCTGATGGACCAGGAGATAAAGTTCCCTTTCCTATGGGACATCTATGTGAGTGGATGCATCGAATTATACAGCTAATGGCTGGAAGAGGCTAAAGAGGTTGAATACATTGGTATTTTGATTTGTTTTCCTTCTGTTTCTTTTTTTTTTTTCCCTCTAATCAAGCATTATTGTAATTTTATTCAAGGTTTTGGTGAATGTTCCTTTCGTTTTTCTTGCACTCCAGAGAAAGAGAATAACTGCAGTTCACTTCATTTAAACTTGACTGTATTCTCTGTAATAATTGAACATTAATAAGAAGAACTTTATGCATTTCCAAAATTCTGATTATGTTCTAAACCTTTTTCATCATCCAGTCTTGTTGGGATGAAATAAGTGTTTTAGCCTTCAAAATTAGGTTTTAAACAAAGACTAATTAGTTTGACGACCCAGTAAAAAGCTCTAAGATCATTTTAAAGTTGGCAGTGTCTTTCTTTTGCAAGAAATTTGAAAATTTCTGTATACTAGGGGAAAGGTCAAAGCAAAATATTTTATGAAAAATATAGGTTTACTAGCTGATTAAAAATGATTTGTCTTGCTCTAGCTATATACCGGATATACCATTCAAATTTTGAAATATAATGACACATTCTGTTTGTCCCAATTTATTAAATCGATTTGTCCAGCTTAGAATTTTGAAAATAAAATCAAATTTGCAGCTTAGTCTAAGTGTTCCTTTCAGTGATGTATTCTCTTTTTGGCATAGCTAATTTAATATGGAGTCTTTTATCATGAAAAGAGAAAAACTAAAATTACTGAGCATTTGTTTCTATATTAACCTAGGCTTCCTCTTGATGCAGGTCCCGAGTTGTCCATTTGGCATGAATGGCTGTCATTTTTTCTTTGTTGGGAAATTTTGCAATCAAATCAGATTGCTTCAGGGAAATTTTACCAATATCAAGGTTCACTTCTTATTGGTTAGCAAAAATTATTGATTCGTTAGATCTGACAACTTTTAGCTTAAGGTCATGTTAGTTTTGTTATACAATTCATCACCTTTATTTATTATTATTTTTGTTCTTCCTCAACTTTCACATTATAGCTTGCTCCTTATTCCTATATCATATGTTAGAAATCTAACCTTGAATTATGAGTTATATGCTGATTTTTTCTTTTAAAAATGCATGTCAGGAATTCAAGAGAAAAAAAAAATGATTGAAGTGTTTTCTGGAGTTTTATGCATTACAATATCGATACTGTGTTTGACTATGAAATTGTGCTCTTTGCCTAGGACTGTTATATTAAATAGACTTTAGTATGCGAAAAAGAATGACAGCTTCACCAGGGGAGGCCTTTGCCTCATGCAATTTCTTAGAGAAAGAAAATCTTTATTTATTTTTTTCAAGTAGTTGTCTGTTTTATTTATGAGTTTGATCTTAGAGAATAGAGAGGATCTAGTGTGGTCGGCTGCTGCCTTTTAGTCATAAAAATTATTTTATAATCTTTATTTTTATATATTTAATTAAGATAAGGCAATTACTATAAATCATTTGTGCATTGCACATGATGTTATCCCATTCTCTTCAGCTTCGTTTACATATGGCCATTGTAAGGGTCCCATTGACTTTTCTTTGTGTAATATTTGACCCTTGATAGATATTTTGTACATTCATTCATTCAGAAAATTACAACCAAACTCAAAGGAGACATCACCAACGGTTAGAACTGATTTTATCTGAAAGGTTTTGAGGTCGAATTTTAAGCCTTTACTTGGGTTTCTTTCAATTGCACGTGTACAAGGTACCTCACTCGCAAAACACTTGCATGGTCTGTTAACTGTTGTTGTTAATAGACTAATGATATTGGAAATTGTTGTTCAAAAAAATTGAGTGCTTCATTATTATCCGTAATAAGTTGAAATAACTTTGATTCGTCCAAAGACTGCAATTTCTTTTGTGGTCAAATCGTAATTCATAGCACGTAGATGACTTTCCGTGATAGCCGAAGTAACTCGAGGCCATGGAACAGTATAAGCCCAAGGTTTCGGAAGTCATCAATTTTGTCCCACCACCATAGAAAAATAACAGAAGCGCAAAGCCTTTGAAGTCAAAATTGAGATTTTCTATTTGGTGGGTGAAGGCTTGGAATCCCAAATGTTAACGTCAAACTTGAAAAATAAAAAATAAAAGAAAATATGCACAAATTGTTGGGAAAAATTGATTTCGTCTCCTCCCAAATTCTAATCGCCGTTTCCAACTAGAAGAAAAGCCGTGTAGGTTTGTTAATTCTTTAAGTCCCAGAACCATGGTTTAGAAGTTGTATTCTATCAATTTTTTAAGTAATACTTTTAAGGTACCTTTGAACGAGAAATTGTAATATATATATATATATATGTATGTATGTATGTATATATATATATATATGTATGTATAGATTAGACTTATAAAATTTTAAAAAGAAATTAACTTGGTGAAATAAAAATTAAAATTGTTAAAATTTTTTAAATTCAGTGAAATTTTTTAGATCTCAGATCCTTGGTTTTATAGTAAGAAATCCACATTTATTTATTTGTTTACGTAAATTTTGTTTTCTTTAATTTTAATTACTAAATTTCATTATAATTTTTTTAATTTTTAATATATTAGTTATATTTACATATTTTTATAAATCTAATGACATTCATATTTTTTAAGATTTTGCTTTTTCTTATCTCTAGTATCATTATTTTTTATTCTAATTTTTATTTTATCAAATTCAAATATTTAAATTTTTTTCTAAAAAATAATTATTCAAGCAACGTAATTATAAATTTTGTTATTTTAAATTAATATATTTCAAAATGTTAACATTTTAAAATTTTTTATAATTTCAAAATTTATCAACCACAAGTACCCTTAAAGGTATCTCTAAATTTTACTTTATCTTTAAACTCTTTCACATCTATTTGATGAATTGAAAATTTTAATTTCAAAATATTTCTCATAAAAATAAATTCTTATGGTAAAAAAAAATAGTTATTTTTTTATCAATATGGATTAACTCATATATCATTATTGATTATAAATTATTTTAATTAAGGAAGGGGAAGATAATTGTCAATTTGTCAAATATAATGTTAAAAATGAAATGCAAATATCAATTAGATTATTGAATTTTTTTAAATTTCAAAAATCAAATTCAATCTCTAACAATCTCAAACATTAAAAATTAAAATTAAAATACAAATATTTTTGCAAATTAATCATAGTAATTTTTTAAAAATTTAGATTTATAATCAATTAAATATTACATCATATAATTAATTAACTAAACAATAAAATAACTTAAACTTAAAGTTTCATAATTTTAAAACCTCCCTCTTATTATTAAACAAAAGTCAAATTAATCATAATAATTAAATTTCCATAATGGAGGTAATGTTCTAAATCATCATTGATTTAATTCCCAAAAATTAAAAAAAAATTTAGGTAATGTTCTAAGTCATCATTGATTTAATTCCCAAAAATTAAAAAAAAAAATTTAGCTCCGGATAGATAAATTAATTTAATGATGGATTTCTACCAATTAATAATCCAAAAATAAGGCAGCGCTTACCATAATAAGTGCTAAAATCCTAGTCATTTTTTTTTTCTTATAAATACTTAAATAATCTTCAACTACTCAATACAGGCGGCCAAGCCACTATTTTTCTTGAATGCCGTACCATACTAAAAGTGTACAACAGAGCTTAAACCACCTTCTTCTAAAACAAAAACAAGTACCCCATGTCAGTACAATATATTCAATATATTTATCGATTATTAAAATACGTAAGCATTTGACTATTCTCTTTTTATTTTATTCAAATTTAAAATCTTTTCTTTTTAATTGATTTAAATACATAAACAAGCTTATCAATGTATACAACTGAAAATGATGAATTTTTATCGGTATTTATTGATTCAAATGATAAATAATTCGATTTTTTTAAAATAAAATCTTAATTTTAAATATTATAAAAAAAATAAATTTAAAAAAATTTATTTATTTTTATAAATTTGATTCAGTTTGACTTTGAATTAATTAAAATTTAATATAATTATCAAAGGCTCCAAACAAAAAAAAAAATGATGAATACTTTTTTGTTTTTGCCGATGATGAATATTATCTAATTTCAAAGTATATTTTTTATGAAAATATTTTTATTAATTCAAATTTTAATTTAATTAATTTATATATTTATTTTTGAGAAATAATATTTAATAAATTTAAAAATTAAATTTTAATATCTGCTATTTTTATTTTTAAATTATCACATCTTTTATAAAAAAAAATTTAAAGAAAATGAAAATATAATTATATCAAAATTTTCATATGGTTGAATTTGACGAGTGAGTACACGCCCGCCCAAACTACGCAATATTGTCATTTCTAGTACCGAAAATGGGTCACTGATACTCGGGTAATGGCAAGCTCGTAATTATGTTCAACACCAAGTCCATTTAGTCACAAGAAAGTCCTTAAAAACCTCGGTAAGTTTCATTTCACACAAACTCAAGGTCGTATCCAAAGGCAAAGCAAAGATGCAAGAATTGTAAGAACTGTAAGAAGAAAGAAAACCCTCTTTTGTCTTGCCATTAATTTTGTAGTTTTTTTTTTCTTCATCGAAATCCGGCATGGCAAACCAGTTGGGGAACTTGGTCGAATCAATCAAGTCAAAGGTAAAAGCCCTGAAGAAGTCCAAGAAGCCATACATAAAGATGGACAAGAGCTCAAGCGTTAAGGTAGAGATCCGTAGCAGGAAGGCAAAAAAGCTCATAGAAAAGACTTTGAAAGTCGCTGATCGCCCTGGAGAGCGTAGCATTTCATGACCCTTTTTCTATAATCTTCTTCTTAAAACCATCAACAAAGAAGTCTCTGTTTCTGTATCTCTCCTTTTTTTTTTTTTTTTCATTTTCTTGTAGATACGTACTGTAAAGTACTGTTATGTGTCTTTTTTGGACGTTACAAGATAGTAGAACCGTCTCTGATTGGCAAACAAGAAAAGAAAGCTTTGTTTTGTTTTCTGGGGTTTACGTTTACGTTTCTGTTTTCTCTTTTTCTTTGATGATGATATGACCTAATCAGTTAATATTAATGATATGAATGGTGAAACCATACCTTGTATCTGATAAATCTCTATTTCTTGATTTATCCAATGAAAGACTACCCAGGCAGGCTAAGCAAATTTTATTCCTTCAACACTTTCTCTTCCAGTGAAGAACAGTAGATCAAATCTGACTCGAATTCTCTTTGGCACAATTACCAACTATAAAATTAGCTGTAATTGATATTAAATGATAAGGTCCATAGCAGTTCCACTATATGGTTTGTCTTTAATAAGCCAATGAACGAGTATTTCATCAGCTGAAAACTATAATTTCCGGTTTAATTTCAGTCGAAGTATAAAAAAGAAAAAAGTTCGATTTTTTTTTTCATTCCTTTTAATTTTCCTGGGTAGCAAATCAAAAACTAAAGGAAATGTTATTGTGGGAACGTAGACTTTCTGGTGAGGCAGTGGGTTTGACATTGAGACTTTGAGGTCGCATCAGAACCGTAGAAATGGAGTCGATCCAAATTAAGAGGCCTTGCCTCAGTCCGAACTCTCCAACAAATGGTTCAATTAGGGTTATTTGTCAATGAAAGCAAGCTGCTTTCTTTCAATTTTTAGGTTTCGGTTTTGTTGATGTGATTTTATTGTCAAGCAGTTCGAAAAAAATCAGTAGATTCCATGGCCATCCAATTCGAAGTCAAGGATGTCAACTTCCAGTACTAGTGGTACTAATAAATATGGTGGACCTCACCTATGATTCCAATTATAGGGGCCTTCTCTAGTTACCAAACTCGTTCTTAAAGCCCCTCTCAATTTTCAATCCTTGCATTTTAAAGAAAATAAAATAATGTTTTAAACCATATTTTTCTTTTAATTAAAATTTCAATAATGATAAATAAACACAGTTTATGAACATTTTCTTTTAATAATTCTTTTTTAATTAATTAAATTTATAATTTAAAAAGAGGACAATGTTTTAAAAAATAATTTACTTTTAATAAATTTATTTATTAAAAAAAAACTAGTATCTAGTACACTCTTAATAAAATTTTTAAATTTTGAAAATGGAATTAAAACATTTTGAGAATTGGTATATGTGGCGTCCCTTTTGAAGTATATGAAAGGATCTTGTTAATTTTTTTAATTTTCATACATTAATTGTTTAATACTGCTATTTGCACTTCAATTTTTTTATCAATATACTCCAAAATTTTAATTTTTAATAAAATTACTTAAATAATCATTAATCAATTATTTTTTATTTTTTAATCTCTTTTCCAATTTTTAATTACGTTTTTTAAAATTTTCTAAAATGAATGCTCCTCGAATCAAAAATGATTTTCTAAAAATTTTTGCATATTTAATACTGTTAATTCTAACTTTAGCCCGTCAATTTGGGCATGTTTTACTGAGTAAGCCCATTGTGGACAAAACTTTGGGCTTTACAGTAATCAACCAGATCCTATTTGTCAAGCCCACACTCATCCCATCTGATCTGTAAGCCAATCTATAGTTATCGAATCAAAATTTCAAAAGGGATATATAAGTTTTGAATCTGCAAAGAAATTTGTATTTGATAAAGATGAACTAGTTTACACCGTCAATGCCTATAAGCAAAGCTCCTTTGAGCAAAGAACAAAGTTTCACATATACCTACTTGTAATTTACAAATAGAAGTTTCCAATAGAAAAACAATAAAGAAAAGGAGCCAATGGCCTTAATTCACTAACGGTATGCTGTAACTTTCCTCCCAACGGCGTAGCTTCTACTTGGTCGATACAGCAAATCCGCCATAGCATCAATTTCATCTTCCTCAAAGGAACAAGGCTTGTCTTCATCAATTCTCCCTATCTTTCCAACCCCAACACTGTAGCTTCTCATTCCCAGGATCCCACCAGCTGATCCCATGTTCGTCTTTTTCATGCGTGATTGTTGCATTTTCTGCACCACCTTACTGTCTATGCCACGCTTCGATACCGCACGTAAAAGTTGTGTGAACTCTTCGTCATCTTTTGCCTTGGAAGAATTGACACAAAAACTCTTAGGCAAGCGTGAAGCTGAAGGGGGAGCAGAGCAAACTACCCCGCCACCATGACCAACCCTGCCAGCACAATCCTCTATACTCTTCATGTAGAAGTCTCTTGCCTTGCTCAGAATTCTGATGGGTGAACATATGATTTTCAGTAGCTTGCTTTCCTTGTTTGCTTTACAGCTTTTGCTTCTCATTTTTGGACCTGCGTTTGTTTTGCAAGAAGAAGGTCTGATGTAAAAAATGAACCAGTTTATGACAAAGAGCGAGGTTTCTTTTAATTTTGAGGCAAAGAAGAGATAATGATGGGTTTATATGAAGGTGCAGAGTTGACTTGTTTCTTGGAAGTAACTTGGATTTAAGGTCGTTTGATTGAAATGGTAACGAGCGTGTCGACCTATTTCATATGAAAACTTCAACTACTGCAAAAAAGATAATATTAACAGATAGTAGGATAGTAGGCCAAAATTGAAAACAAAAAGAATAAAATAACCAAGTTGACCAAAACGAAAACTGAGTAAAAGCCAGGAAATTTAGACTCTCTCTAACTCGGTATTGGATTGGCCAAAAAAAAAAAAATCGGCATTGGCGGTCCCAAGGATTCTCTCAGTGTATTGTGTACATTTCGATTGGAGCGAGTGGGCAATTCAACCATGACCGGATTTTTTTAAGAAAAATATTGAGGTTTGAAATTTTCTTCTCAGTTGACATTAATCCAAAAGGAGAACAAGTATAATGAGGCAAGTATGTGTTAAATGTTTTTTTTTTTTTTACATAAAATTTAGGACGAGAAGAGATTTTTTTCATTCCAGTGCTAAGATTAGTTCGTACAAAATCATTAGTGATGAGATTCAATTTAAATTTTACAAGCGAAGTTCAAATCTTACCAATATAACCAATTTTATCCCTTAAATGGGTATTTTTTAAACTAATTTTGCAAGTATAATAATCAGAACTGTTTTCTTTTTAGAGTATCATGAGACAATAAACAGGTCAGCTTCAAAATAAGGCCAAAATACTAAGCTCCAAACATTCTTTCTCCAACATCTTTTCAGTGGACTCTTTTAGCATTTCTTTATGAACATTCCAATCCAATCTTCCTTTCCTGCTACTTCCAAATTTCAAGTCTAACAAAAACATTGAAAGATAATTTATACATATAGATATATATATATATATATCTTGACTCTCTTCTTCAGCAAACAGTTTCAATCTTCCAAGTTCCTCTAGGCATCTTTCCTCCATTTTCTGTATCAGTTCGAGGGGTTTGGTAACAAATCAAGGGTTAAAGGTACAGAAATGAGGAGCAAAGCAGAGTTACAAAGCAAGTTCAAGAACTACATGTCGAAGCCGATGAGCAAGGCAGAGTTACAAAGTAAGTTGAGGCACTACATGTCAAAGCCTAAGAGAGCTTTACACAAGGCAAGAGACTTTTACGTGAAGAGAATGGAGGAATGCGCTAGTAAGGTCGGTTATGGTGGAGTTATCGGCTGCCCTGCTCCACCTCAAGTTTCACGGTTGCCCAGGAGTTTCAGTGTCAACTATTCAAAACCCAACAATGAAGAGAAATTCATGAATTACTTAGAAGTAATGTCGAAGAAAAGGTCAATGGAGTCAATTTTGCAGGAAGAGGAGATGAAAGATGCGTATGGTGGGTTGAAGAGAAGTTATAGTTGCGTTGGCCTGGCGAGAATTGACGAGGACAAGCCCTGCTACTTCGAGGAAGATGCGCTGTATGCTAGAAGCAGAAGTTATGCTTACAAGAGATACTACAATTATTGAAGGGTGAAGAATTGGAACATTGGTTTTTTGACACGTATTCTTGATTTTACTTTTTTTTTTGGGTTAGGTTCCAAAGGGGAACAGGGAATCTGCAATCATTCTTTTATTTGCTTATAATTTTATGTATTTTTTGAGTTTCAATTGATGTTATTTGTATATTATTAGCCTTTATGAAATTGAGATGATGATAATGAACAGATGACCAAATATCTAACTTTTCCCATTCTTCATTTATTTCATGCCTAATCTTTGGTGATTTAACATGGAAACTCAGAGTGCAACCAATTCACCTGCCATAGGAACCTCCTGATAATGGTCTTTATAAAGTGAACTTTGATGGCACTATTGATAGAGATCGGAAGATGGGTGGAATATGGGATGACAAAAGATACAGAAGGTCTGGTTATGGGAGAGCACATTACCAATCTGCCATGGATAACGAATTCGTACTGTTGAGGCTCGATCATTGGACTTCGCTATAAAGATGGGATTTAAAGAAATTGTGGCAGAATAGGGGATGCTTTAGCAGTTTTGAAAAAGATGCAGGTAATGGATGTGGAGATTAACTTAGTTAATTCATACTATCATTCTTAAAAGATGTTTTTTATTAAATTTGTGATTCAAATTTTAATACTTATAATAATTTTTTTATCCTCAAAACATAACCTCTTTCTAAAAAAAAATATACAGAAAATGAACCTAGACTTTTCTCCTATTGGTTCAATTACAGATGAAGTCAGAACAAAAGTTGAAAAATTCATTTGATTTATGAATGAAAGCATTTTTATTTAAAAAAATTGAAAACTATATAAGATCTCAAAATTAAGAGGAAAAAGGGTACCAGAATTTTGTTCAAAAAGATGGCGAATAAAAATCTCTCTAACCTAACTTATTTAATTTGTTGAAATTTTAGTTGTGAATTTATTTATGACAAACACAATCAATCACATAGGATCATGGGTGGGAAACTTGTTACTAATGGAGAAATTACGTGCCTACAAAATTAATACTGAAATCAAAGAAGCTTCAAGCTGTGTTCAAAGATAGCAACGAATTCATCCATTTGATTCTTGTTTAAAGCTAGACCAACCTCAACTCCACCTTCCTCATCTCTACACTCCGCAAGAGATATAGCCTCACCAGAATCAATGTGAATCAACTCGACCTTATTAGGTCTTCCCCACCCAAAGTTAGTATCATAGACATGTAATTTTGGCGATCCAGCTACAGCAATTAGACGCCCTGATCTTATTCTTTCCATGAGAGTTGGTATCCAATTCTCCACACCTCTCAAACCACTTTTCTCCATTTCTTTAACTTTGCTTCCAATGGCTGTTGCCGCCCCAACAAACCCATTTTCTCCAATTACCTCACTTTTCTTCATTTCTGTAATACTCGGTTTTATGCAATTTCCAAAATATGTTTCAGGAATTGGAAATTCCAGGCGGTTACGGCAATCGAAGGGGAAAAGAAAGTAGTAAAGTTTATCGTTATCATCATCTGATAAGTTGGTAATAGCACTTTCTTGTGTTTTGATCAAAGAAACCCATATTAAGGCACATGTCACAACAAAAGTTGATACGTGCAATTGCTCTGAATCTGCTCCCTTCATGCACTTCGTTGTGACCAAATGCTTTAGTTTCTGGACATGGGCTCGACCCAACACAAATGTTGCCCGCACCTTATCTGCTGCTAATACAGGATGGGCTGGGCCAGAATTCCCACCACAGGATGACACCCAATTCCAGTTCATTTTCAAGAGAAAGAACTCCACCCCGTCAGGATCCTTGATGACATCATTGTTCCACAAGGGAAGTGATTTTTCAAGGCAAGTCAAGTCACCACCCGCCATGTAAACAGATGTCCAGGACCTCATGAAATGCATGAACGTCTTCCCATCACCACACACATGGCAGTAATTAGACCCAATGCAAATACCGGCGTTTGGAAACACAGTGACTTGAAAGGCAATGATGGGGAGCACCCAAGTACCATCTTCTGCCGCAGGTGCCATTGGCAGCTTCGGCGCAAAGGGGTGTAACAATTTAACATCTCGTGGATAATTGGCTACAATATGATTGAAATCTGCAGGGGATTCAACAACCATGAAAGTAACAAAATCACCATCTTTATAATGGATATAGGGCTTGCCGGGTGGTGGTGGGCACATGATATTGGCTGCGAAGGGAAAAAAATGTTGGAAAGTAAGGGAGAGAGAGTGTTTCAGCAACGGGAGAATGATTTCCATGAAGTCCAAGGTAGGGTATGGGAATTCGTAGAGAAAAGGCGTTGTATATTAGGAAAACGAAACCATGGCAGATCGAAGAAAGTGAGACGGAGAGAGGTTGTGGGAACTGAGCCTGGAGGCGGTGAAACTTTGCTGCTATCAAGAACCTTCAATTGGTTAGCTTGAGCCATTTTTGTAGTTGAGACCAAGAAATTTACCCAAGCTTCAATATGCAGATATGGGGTCAGATGATGAATCATATATAGCGAACATAATTAATTTGATGGCCCAATTTCGCATAAATTCTGATTCTTTAGATGTTCTTTCTTCTTATGAAAGATTTTGAATGGAATAGATGCGGCATTGAAATTATTGAAGCTGAAAAAGGATGGATGCAAAGCAAGATAAGACAAGAAAACAGCTAGGTTATTTAAATGTAGATAAAGAGGAGACCAAAATAAGGCTACTCACTATATATAGAGCAGTTAGATAAGTGCATCTTATCATTAGGAATATTTAGTTATTTAAGCAAGAGTAAATCCCAAATATTAATATAAAAAAAATAAGCTGGACTCATATCAACATATATAGTTTTCATTTCAATTATATCATTTAATCACATTTAATAGATAAGATCTATTTCAAAATTTATTATAACATATAAAGATGTTAAGGGTGCGAGTATGGAGTGAATAAAATAGCGAATAAAATATTTTTTATCATCATATTTATTCTTTTATAAAATTTATACTTTTTTTTTAGTGGACATTTAATGGAGGATATAATTTTTCATGTTCATTGTTCTTTAAGATAGTATTTGATATAAAGTGATTATTCAAAAAAATTATAATGATTTCTATACGGTGATTAGATCATTATGTTTGGTAATTATTTAGTAGTTCTACATAACATTAATCTTAGATTATTAAAAGAGATTAGATTACTGTCTTTGAGGATGATAAAACTCTTATCTAAAAAGGTGAAAAAGTTTTATTATTAAGGTGAAATAATATGTAATATTAATAATAGTTAATATTACTTATTTAATATATGAATTAAAAATTTTGTTCTTTTTAAAATTAATTATAATTATTTTATATTATAAATTTTTGTATTTTTAAATAGTATTCAATGTAACAAGTTGAAAAAATAATTTATGTGATTTCTTTTAATTTTTTAATTTATATATAATATAATCTTTTAATTTTTAATAGATTGATTTTATTTTCTAATTCAAATTTTTTCACATAATTTATACTATAAAAACTAGCTTAATTACTTATAAATAAATATATTTTTAATTATTAATTCAATTATATTTTATTATGAAATAAATAAAATATTACTAATACATTACAAATTATTATCTTCAAATAATATTAAAATTATTAATTTATGTAACTATTATAATATATATGCATGATTATTTTTGTACTTTCAGATAAAATAATATTTAATTTTTAGTAATACCAAATAGAGTAATATTTAATTACTAAAAATTAATAAGTTTTAACCACACGAAGTGATTCCAAATCACAAATAATTAGATAATATTGGTGATTAACTTGTCTTGATAATCTTAAAAATGATAATAAATGTTACATTAAAAATTTAAAATAAATATTTAAATATTTAAAATTTATTACAATAAATACAAAATTTACAAATAATAAAAATACAATGCACACTTAAAAGCAAGTTTGAAGAACAACAATTCAAAATAAAAAAATTTTGTATAATTGTTTGACAAAATAAAAAAGATTTGTAGATATTTATTAATATAACATAACAGATATATATTTTATATTTATATATTAATTTTTTAAATTATATTCATAATCAAATATTACATCCATATAATCACTTAAATAATTAATAATTACATCATTGAATAATCAACTAATAAACTATAACTTAACAACTAAACTCATTCATAATAGAACTTAATCCTAAGACTTCAAATTTCTAAAACCTCCTCACACCACTAAACCAAGACGTCATTAGTTATATATTTATTAAATATATATATAAATATAATATTAATATTTTAAATGATCCTTAAACTAAAATGTAATATTTAATTTGATATCTTAACTTAAAATTTCAAAACTTAATATCGTAACTGCTAATTTGTTAATTAATATGTTTTTTATTTGTCTTATGTTATTATTTAAAGTTAATTATGCTTAGAGATATAAATGATATATTAATATTCGTAAGCTACTCGGGTTCGATAAAAATAAAATTTGAATTCAGTTTAATTATTATCAAATTGAGTTCGAGTTTGAATAACTCGACTTATCGATTAAATTGAATTCGAATATTCTTATGTTACGAGTCGAGACTTAAGCTCCGAACCTGCGCGACTCCGGGACTCGGGCATACACTCATTCAACGTCCCAGATCAGCCTTCCTGTCATGGTTCACACCTTTGTGAGGTATTATCCGCTCTAGCCCCCCTGACCTCACAGTTTTATCCTACAAAAGACGCTTTCAAAGGCAAAGGTGGTGTAAACCTTTATATATCCTAGTGACTTTCCTTTTATGTTTAATGTGAGATTCAGGACTCCTCTTTAAGTTCGTGACATTACTTAAGCTCCGAATTCACGCGGCTCCGGGACCTGAGCATCCACTCATCTTGCGTCCCAGATTAGCCTACCTGTCATGGTTCACACCCTTGTGAGGTATTATCCGCTCTGGCCCCCCTGACCTCATGGTTTTGTCCTACAAAAAGCGTCTCACAAGGCAGAGATGGTGTAAACCCTTTTGTACCTCAGTGACCCTTCTATTATGTTCAATGTGGGATTCAGGACTTCTTCTTAGGTCTGTGATATTTTTCACTATCCAACCTCGTGACGCCCTCGTTACGGAGACTGGCCACCCTGCCTACCTCTCTCGAGGCGCTTGACATGGGTCGAACGGTTTAGGGCTGGTTCTGATACCATTTATCACGAATCGAGACTTAAGCTCCAAACTCATGCGACTCCGAGACCCGGGCATTCACCCTTCCGACGTCTCAGATCAGCCTACCTGCCACGATTCACACTTTTTCCTTGTGAGGCACCTTTTGTAGGACAAAACTATGAGGCCAAGGGGCCAACCGTGCGGGTTCAGAGCTTAAGTTTTAACCCGTGACAAGTGGTATCAGAGCCAGTCCTAAACCATTCGATCCACGTCAAGCACCTCGATGGAAGTAGGCAGAGTGACCAGCCTCCGTGACGAGGGCATCACGAGGTTGGGTAGGAAAGAATGTCACGGACCTAAGGAGGAATCATGAATCTCACATCGAACATAATAGGAAGGTCACTGGGGTATATAAGGGTTCACCTCATCTCTTCCTTGTGAGGCACCTTTTGTAAGATAAAATCGTGAGGGCAGGGGGCCAGAGCGGATAATATCTCACAAGGGTGTGAATCTTGACGATCAAGCTGGATAGGAAGGTCACTGAGGTATATAAGGGTTCACACCATCTCTTTCTTGTGAGACACCTTTTGTAGGACAAAATCGTAAGGGCAGGGGGCCAGAGCGGATAATATCTCACAAGGGTATGAACCTTGGCGATCAAGCTGATCCGGAACGCCAAAAGAGTGAATGCTCGGGTCTCGAAACCGCTCGGGTCGGAGCTTAAGTCTCGACCCGTGACACTTACACTCAACTTGAATATCTTGCGAGCTTAATCGAATTTTTATATTTTAATATATTTTAATTAATATAATATTTCAAACTAAAATTCGAGTACATATAATCAAATTTTAATTTAATATAAAAATTGAATTTATTTTTACACATTAATAAAATTTAATCAAGTGAACTAAAATAATTAAATTTTTATTTTGAGTCAAATTTAAATTAAAAAATTTTTTTGATTAAATTTATATCAAATTTTAAATTTTAAATTAAATTCAAATTTAATATTATATAAATCCAAACTCAATCTATTATACTCATAATTCACACAACAATAAGGACACAATAATAATAATTAATGTATTCATTACTCAAATACTATATTAAAAAGTTTTAAATTTAAAAATCACGTTTAATATTTATAATAATATTAACCGATTAATATATATACGTCCCGTACAGAAATAGATACGGGTGGATAGTCTCTGTTCTTGAAAACAACAGGTATTTCATGTCAAAATTATATTGATTTTTATTTTCGTTTTTAAAATTTGATACCGTACACAGCTTCAAATAAAATACTACATCGTTTCCCATCAGCCACGGATAATGCAGCACTGCAGAACTGCAACACTTGCGCCAAATTGGACTGCAAAGAATATAAACGCCACTTTTCATACCACTAGCTTCTGGTATCGAAGGACCCTCCAAACGTTAGGCCGATGAGAACTCAACCTCCATCGCCACCGCCACCGCCCCCGCCCAAATCCGAAGACGACCCCGACCTAGCAACGCGGCCCACTTTATTCTCTAATCAAACTCTCACCACCACCGTCCCTGGTCATCGGAAAAAAGGGACAGGTATTCGGCCATGGCTTTTACTGGACTCAACCGGCCAGACCCAGGTGGTGGAGGCCGGAAAGCATGCTATCATGAGGCGGACGGGTTTACCTGCTCGAGATCTTCGGATCTTGGACCCGCTTCTGTCGTACCCGTCGACGATTCTGGGTCGAGAAAAGGCGATCGTGATTAACTTAGAGCACATAAAGGCAATCATCACGGCCCAAGAGGTTTTTCTTTTGAATTCTAAGGATCCTTCGGTTACGCCGTTTGTTGATGAGCTACAAAGCCGGATTTTGTGTCATTATCAAGCAACCAAAGCCCAGGTTCTTTTCTTTTTATTTCTTTATATATTTTTGTTTTATGATTTTCGATTTAGGGTTTTTATTTGATTTCCTGCTTTGTTTTTGCATCAATGAAATTCAATTATTTCAACTAGGTAAAATTATTTATTCATTGGCCAAGTCTTCTTTTTTCCTCTTCAGGAGGGCGCTGTTGATGATTCCAACTGCATAATTCGAACTAGTTCTCAAAATCTGTCAGCAAGGTTTTCACAGCCTCAGAATCAAGATGAGGAACGTAAAGCAGAAGAGAAACAGGGTCTTGAGAACCCGGATGGATCAAAGATTCTCCCGTTTGAGTTTGTTGCATTAGAAGCATGCCTTGAAGCAGCTTGCAGCTGCTTAGAAAATGAAGTGAGTCTTCTTCTTCTCTGTTATTTTGTCCCTCAACTTTTTTCACCATCATGTTGTTTTTTTGCTTACGTTTGGTTATTGTTTTCTATTGCCAAAACAGGCAAGGACATTGGAGCAAGAGGCTCATCCAGCCTTGGATAAATTGACCTCAAAGATTAGTACACTCAATTTGGAGCGTGTTCGCCAAATTAAAAGCCGATTAGTTGCAATAACTGGGCGCGTTCAAAAGGTTTGGTATTTTAAGCTTTTGAACTATGCAGATTTTCGTTAGTTTTCATATCAACTGTTTGACCTAAAAGTTTTTATGCTGCCATGGATAGATGCAAATTTTGAGTCCAGATGACATCAACAAATTCAATGATTTTCTTGTTTCTAGTTTCATCTTTTGTTTCTTTGTTTGTAATCCATTTTTAATTCAAAATTTAAGTATATAGACATGCTCATTCTCAGGTAAGGGATGAATTGGAACACTTGCTAGATGATGATGAAGATATGGCTGAGATGTATTTAACTGAGAAGCAACTACTTGAAAATTCTTCAACCTCGTCTATGATTGAGAGAGATGATATGGATGGTGAAGGTCTTCAACCAGACATTGATGACAGGCACTGAACAATTTCACCACTTGATTTCATTAAAGCTTCCCTTTTTCAGTTCATTTTATTTGCAATCTTCTGCGTCTCAGATTTGTTTCTGCATTATGTTAGGACACCTGCTGAAATTTCCTTGGCAGCCAATTATCAAGGTGATCTCCAGGACTCTGATAACGCCCAGGATCATTTATTTGGTGCTCCTAATGCAATTGGAAGAGACAGCCATGGAACTCGTACAAGTACCACCCGTAGTGCTATCAGCAAGCACCTTGATGTAGAGGAGTTAGAAATGCTCTTGGAAGCATACTTTGTACAAATTGATGGTACACTGAACAAGTTATCCACGGTATATCACTTGCATTTGGCACTTTATTACTGTTCCCTTTGTTATCATCTAATAATTTGGACATGGATCAGTCTCATTCTCAAGGAACTTGATTCAATCTACTGGTACAGCTATGAGGCAGTAATCCTGGAATCCTAGCCGAGTTCATTTTATGGACTTTTTACTTCATTTCACTCAAACTGGATGATATTGATATATGATTCGTAAACTTTTCTTAGGATATTGATGGATGAAATATTGCAAGGGATTTTTTGCGGTTGGGCATTTTGCTCTGTTTATGATAAAGAAAAAATGCGAATATAGAGCCTATAAGGCTATAACCCCGGTAACCCTTCTGGAAAAGAATTCATGTTGCTTTCTGACTTCCACTTTTCATATTTTATCTGGAAAAGAATTTCAATTTCACAATATTCAAGCTGTATGACCCTTTTTATACATTTCATTAGCATCTATTAGATCCTATGTTATGCAAAAGCATACACCGCAATTTATACCTTCAACTGCAGTATGGAGATTAGCTTCTTGTATCAGTCAGTCTTCTTGTGACAGAGGTTATTGACATTTTTCTTAATTTTTCTCTTCTTTCTTGGAAGCTGAGGGAATATGTGGATGACACAGAGGACTACATTAACATAATGCTGGATGACAAACAGAACCATCTCCTGCAGATGGGAGTCATGCTGACAACAGCAACCCTAGTGATCAGTGCCTTTATTGTAGTTGCCGGCATCTTTGGCATGAACATCCAAATTGAGCTATTTGATGATAGCAAAGCAGGGATGCCAGAATTCCTATGGACAATTGGTGGTGGTGCCACTGGGACGATATTCCTATATGTGATTGCTATTGCGTGGTGCAAGTACAAGCGCTTGTTAGAGTAGTTAGACCAGGATGTATACCTTCCGAAGCCATTGGTAATAACATGAACTAAAGTATCTACTATCAGATGTGTAAACTTATCGAGATTTGCTTTGTGCGGACAAAACCAATGGGTAATTACTAATTTCATTTATGTATCCTTTACATGGTGACGTGTATAAATCTCTTGAATGCTGTTTACCTATTGTAACTGCATTTGCGGCTGCAATGTTTCCAGGCGACTTATTCTCTGATTTCCTTTTCCCATCCATCTTTTCTTCTTTTTTTTTTTTTTTTGAGAGGTTTTTTTAGTCTTTTTTTTTTCAAGTTTTATCTCATAAATCAGGGGGAGAGAATGCAAGCATGGCTTGGAACAATGATTACCATCTTGGCATTTTAGCTGATCAAGGTTCAAGAGTATGTTAAATCAAATTTTTAGAAAGAGGAATAATGATTTCTTTGATGCGAACCTTTTTTTTTTTTTTACAAATGAGATGATAGCTTTGAAAGGGTTGCGTATTTAGGATTGGGATTTGAATCTGTACGTAATATTTTAAAAAGTAATTATATAAATTAATTAAGTAAAGTGTGTTTATTTCTTCCTGATAAGCGCAAAATGTTTTTCATTTGTTATGTCCTTTAATATCTAACAAGGAGAAATATGTAATTTGAACCGAGACTGACGTTGTAGATAGAATGGACCAAAGGAACAAAGGAACCTCATCTTTATCTTCATGTTCAAAAAACTGGTGGCTGCCTTCTTGCTAGAGACTTGAGAGAGAGAGAGAGAGAGAGAGAGAGAGAGAGAGAGCGAGAGAAGGAGAATGGAGTAATGGTTACCAAATGAGTTCCATAGCGCAAAGCATATTGATGGCACTGACTGTAACAGTCAACCAATTTGCTTCTTCAAATGTGCATGCAGTTCATAGAAAACAGGGGAAATCCCCTCCCACCTCTTCCAAACCAAAACCAACAAATACAAATACAATTACAGCAGCTGCATCAACCACTGACATGGGATTAGGAAGGAGAGGTCTCATTTTATCAGCTATGGCTTCTGCTCCTCAACTGAATGATTCCAGAACCGAGCTTCTCAAAAGTACTCACTTCTCACTGCTTTTCTTTCCCATTTTTATTGTTGTTTTTCTAGTGTTTTCCTTTTGGTCGATTTGGGATGTTAGAGGACTTAATAAAACTGTAAATTTTGACAGAGTATCTGAAGAAATCAGAGGAAAACAAAGCCAAGAATGACAAAGAGGTAAATCAGCTTCTAGGCCATATATGCATATCTGCTCCATCTTCTTTTTTATTTTTAATTAGAAATTGATCACCTTTTTTTTAACAGAGAATGGAGAATTATTACAAGCGCAACTACAAGGGTTACTTTGAATTCGTAGAAGGGACTGTGAAAGGGAAGAGCGAGCAGCAGCTAACTGAAGCAGAAAAGGGTATTCTTGATTGGCTCAAAGCTAACAAATAAAACTACTCTACCCCCCTCCCCCCAACACCCGCTTTTCTTGCAACTTGTATTCAATCTTCAACACGTACTTACCGGTTTCTTGAAAACATAAACCTGTACTTACTGCTAATCCAATTATATATGTCATCGAATCGATTTTTAATTTTACTAATTTCTTTCTGATGGATAATTCCGGTATATAAGCCATTCTTAAATGAAATTTACGAGTTCCAAATCAAGTTCAATATTTGCTAAAATATCATTAAAAATTATAAAAAAAAAAAAAAGATTCGGCTACCGATATTTGAACCCTGATTCCAATCATCCAAGGAATTACCAATGTGCTACAGCTTTCTGAAATGATGTATTTTCATCATAATTTGAGTTACTTGTTTTTTTTTTTGTTCCACTTTTTTTCCTTTCCATGTCTAATGTCTTCTTCCTGCGAAAATGCAAAATTTAAGAAATGAGGTTAGTATGAAAATACGTAGGGATGAGATAAAAAAACAAAAAATTCAAAAATTAATTTGACAGTATTTGATTTGATTTAAATCAATTTTTTTATTTATTTCGAATTAAATTCAAATATTAAATATATATATATATATATTAAATTTAGATTGAATTTCGAATAAGGAAGTGAGTGAAAATTGAAAAAAATTAAATTGAATCAAATTATATATTTTTTTAATTTCTTAAATTTTTATAAAATAAAAAAAATAATTTTATATTAAAATCTACTTAAAAATATTAAAATTTTATATTAAAATAATATATAAAAATTTAATAAATTAAAAATTAAAAATCTATAAATTAAATCAAATCGATAAAATTTGATTCACTTTTAATTAAATAAAAATTTAAATAAAATTTTAAAATTTTATAATATTATAAAATATCTAAAAAAAATCAAATTCAATTCAAATTAAACTGAACCTTATCACTCCTAAAAATACATAAACAATGGATAAACAATTAACATTCTTAGAAGCCTTGGAAAGATGGATTCACCTTCATTCCTTCATCACAAAAAAAAAAAAAAAGAAAAAAAACCCTCCTTTTTTATGTTATACTAAAATCTGTATTGTGTTAATTATTGTGGATTTGTAGATTTGATTTATGAGATAAATATATTTTCATTATTTCAGCTGTATGACTATTTTTTTATCTCTATTGAAAATTTTGAAGTAGGCTTTGTAATAGTGGGCTTTTGGCTTAATGGACTTAAATCAAACTTAATAGTGAACCCAGACTCAACTTTTTTTTTTTATCTTCTTGGGAAAAACATTGGCCCAAATAAGTTAAAAAACCAAAAGAAGTTTTCCGCTGCCGGGATTTGAACCCGGATTCCAAATACCAGAAGGAATTGCCAATGTGCTACAGCGGAAGCGATAGGAGAAGGATGCAAACTTAATTATAATAATCAAATAATCCATTTTTCCCTCAACAATCAACGTCACCTGCAATCTGCGTTCACTGGATCTGATCTCTGTGCTTCCAAAAGCTTTTCAACAAAATAAACGTGTACTGTTCTTCATCTCACTCGTCCTTTTTCATTGTCTGCCTTCTATTTTTCTTGCCAAGACCTTGCCGACTAAGTTAAAAAAAAAGGAAAGATTATGAAGAATAGTTCCAATAAATTAAAACAACTAAGCCCAAATGGACACAATTAGTAAATTTACATTACGCAATGCAATATATAGATGAAAAGATTGGTTTTCTATTTCTTTGGTATTGTACTTGAAAACCCCTTAGAAGTGGTGTGGTGGCATGTCGTGCTGGTGCATGCCTGTTCTCTCTAGTTGCTGTGATGATGGGATTCATGCTTCAAATATTACCACAAACTTTACTTTTGTTTCTGTAACAATAAGACCCCATCCTTCTAGTTTGTTTTCGGCAACCAGATTGACCTACACAGTTATTGATGTTTCAAAACTAGGATCTTCACCGGGATTTCTTGATAACAGGTTAAATAATTGGAATTGGAATTTCTTGGCATGGACAATGTTCATTTCTGGCAGGTTCTCTTGGCATGAATGTATGCAATTTTTTATATTAAAGTACATTCATTAATTTAATTTTTGCTACCACAGGAAATTATATGCATCCAAAACCAAGATTTAATGCCTGAACCGCTGAACGATATTTGCAAACTGGAAGGGGAAAAAGGAGAAGAAATTAGTGCATTCTAGAGATGATAGTGCTCACTGCTCATGCTCACTGATGTGTAACACATGCAGCTCTATGAAATTGGAGATAAGGGAGCAGCAGACAGCTGTCATGGAAAACAGAAACAAGTCTTGTTAAAACAGCAGTGGAGACACGAACAGAAATTAGATAAGTACTATAAGAACCAACACAACGGCCGTGTTCCCCGTTGTGTGTTACAGGGGATTGAAGTTTTTGTTTTGGTGGTGGTTGGAAGAACAATGGATGTTTTTCCCATCCTCTCTCAGATCCTTATCCAATATAATGGAATGCAACAAGGCAGAGACTAGCATTATTTGTCTTTAGCTTTGCTTCCTCTTTCTTTCTTTGTAATTTTTTTTTTTTTTTTACTTACATTGAGGACTCCCAATACTGAAGATTAAAATATATGAAAATAGCACCTGTGAGTATAGATAGATCAGAAGTTTTGACACCCTAAATTCCCCAACTGCTATATTTTCTTTATCCCAGTTCAACATTTTCAGCAGAAACCAAATTATATAATCTTAATAGGAACTGACTGGGAATAATTAGATGAATAAAGAAATCAAAGGCAGAGACATATAATTGTGCCATGACATCAAGCTCGATGCCAGCTGCTAAGCAGACAAGGTTGGAGGGAGCAAAGCGGCAATAATAAATCATGTATAAGAAATATATTTAAAAATAAGAGCCTTCCAAATAAGATAAAAGAGCAAATTATTAAATATAATGGGGCATGTTCCTTCGGGTCAGGAAGATCAAAGGCAGGATCTTACGGGGCTTAAAAAAGGGTCATGGAGATGCATATGAAATATTCCGACATTAGCTTGGTCATTTCCCTCCTCATCTCTGAGCTTTGATATGAATGCCCATCATCACCCCATTACACTTCGCATCATCCTGTCTCATTCTCATGTGCATATTTAGCCTAAACTTCTGCGTTATTATGAGAAATGGAACCATCGGAGTGGAGATGGAGCCCTGCCTGGACACATAGAGACACGGGTTCTTGTCCTTATTGATGACCAAGCCATTTCCATGATTTGATTCTACTACTCACACAGAGAAAAGAGCTACCTTTTCAATTTTGATATCGGGGAAAATCCCACCTAATCAAATCTGAGTATCTCATCTTTATTTGAATTTTGATCACATTCTATTTGAATAGCTCCCAAAGTTAGGTGGATGACACACCCATTTGTCCTCTATTGTTGAAAAGAATAGTTCTAGTTCAATTGCACAATAACTTGTCCTTGGAATTCAAGTTAATAAATGGTGTCGGTTTTAGGTTCAAATTTTATCATACAAAAAAGACTGAAGAGTAAACCAGCATCTATTTTCGCCTGCACATGCATGCAACAGCCGACAGGCTTGGTTTCTTGATCGCTTATCTTTTATGGCTTGAAATTGTGGACAGGAAGTAGTTTTCGCATCTTCTAAAAGATTAGTAGGAAGCATAATTTATTACAACAAGCATGAGACTAAACCGTGGATGATAGAGACAAGATGAGAGGAATGTCAAAAGATTAGGAAACATAATGAAAGCTTATACTTTCATTGCAGTGGGAACATCCATATCTAAAGCAAAGGATACACAAATCTGAACCTTTCCAAACAGGTTTCTGTATAAAATCTCACTATTAGTTTTGCTTTGCTGAAGTGAGGTCATTGTCCTAAAGCTACAGTACTACTCAATGTGGGGAAAATGAACTATTGTTTGATAGCAGTTAATTTAATTATTTATATTGGAGTATTTTTGTATTTAAGTTGAATTTAAGTGATCAAACTGCAAGTTGAGAGATATAAAGAGAGCATGGGGCTCCATCAAAAACAAAAGACTGACATAATTACACGTAGAGGCCGCCCAAAGCCCCAGCTGGTTTGTTCTCAGGTTGACAGGGAAAGCATGAAATTTATTTCCAACTTTTGCTCTCAGTTTGTTTCGCATTGCATTGGTGGGTACAAGGAAACTTGGAAAAGAAATGAAATGAAAAATGAAAGTAACAAGATCCCATTTGAGATCTGATTCCTTTTTTTTTTTTTTAACTTTGGCAAGCCTTCTTCCATTTCTTTTTAGAGCCACAGATCCAGTAGCAGCAAGAGCAGGCTGATATTTAGAAACTTAACCATGCACCTTATCCCATCCCCAGTCCATTCTCTTTCCTTAAAACGACCTGTCAATTTTGAAACTTCCAATGAGGTGATATTTCAAACTACAATGAGAAAAATAATGCTGAAGGTTTAAAACATTGTAATTCTTAAATATGTGGTGCATTATTAGAAATTAAAGCAAAAAAAAAAAAAAAGAAATCAATTGGAAGTTACTTAACTGGTTATTTTGTAGCCGGTTTCCAGATGGAGAAAACTGTAAAAAACCAAAGTGGTCTTGGAATGCAGGTCCTCCCTGCAATAATTCAATGGTTATCAACATTTTTCAATCAAAAGCTTCAACATATAAGTTAATGTTAGAGGAAAAACCTGGAACTGGAGGTTAAGAATAGGCAACTACCTGAAAGTGTGTTGCAGAGAACCCCTGGGAACAATCAAAGACACTCTCCATTGAAGCTTGATTATTGGTGTGTGCAAAATTATTCTGGAAAATTGTCAAGATTCGAGAAGCTATAATTAACAGCATTAACAATAAGAGAATGACTGAGAGAAGATATGAATGAGGTGAACCTACCTTGGAGAAATTGATGAGAGGAGAGCTGGCTGTATCATCAAGAAAAGAAGGCAGTTCCTGATCTTCCCGGCATCTTCGACACTCCTTGTTTCTGTGTCTTTTGCCAGCATTATTATTCAATGAAGCACCTTTGGATGCGGTATACTGATGATATTGATTATCATGGTTGAAGTAACCATTATCTTCATAGAAATGTGGAGGCCCAGAAGATGCATCAGAAACCATGGAAAGGTCTTCTTCTTCTTCAACAACATCATCAACCTCTTCTTTACCTCTATTCTCTCTATGTTCATCATAAAAGCCACTCTTTCTATCCCTTAAACCATGACCTTTATGCGGAGGATTTGTAGATAGAAAAGACTGTTCTAAGTAATTAGTCCAACCAGACTCACACCCACTACTACATTCTGAGGCCAAGACATTCATTTTTTTTTCTCCTCAAAAGAAAACCCACCAATCTGAATGCCTTATCCCTCAATCTCTGGCTCCTTTTTATCAAGAAAAGAAGTAAGTCCCCCCACCCCGGGGGCTCTCCTTTCAAAAAAACAAAACCTAAAAAAAAAAAGGGCAGGTAACAGTAAATCTGTAGATGATGAAGTGATATGTTTCCCTATACTTGGGTGATGGATCAAGAAGGATAGAACTAAAGGGAGTGGGAAAGAACAAAGAGAATCAGACTCAAATCCTAGACTAGTTTTGTCCTCATCCTCCCCCATTCGACTCTCGATGTGAATGAATCAAAAGTGCCAGTTGGGTGGGTCTAGTGGGTGCATGTAATGTAAGAAAGAAAGAGAAAGACAGAGAGAGAGAGAGAGCCACAACCCCTTCACATGCTAGACAGAGAGGCACTGTGTACCCTATTAACAAAACCGGGCACACGTCCATTTTCCCTTCCTCAGTATATAGACAGCTCTACCTTGGGCAATAGTATAGTCTCAAAACCCTCTTCTCTTTCAATTTTTTTTCTTCTTCATATGCAGTGGCGGACTATATGATATGACAAGGTGTTTATAAACATTCCTAGATATTAAGAGGCAAGAAAAATAAAAAAAATTGAACATTTTTTTCATTGACAGAATTAATAATTTTCAAAATAAAATTTGATAATATTAATAATGATTCTTGATTGAATAGAAGGATGTATTTGAGTGTTATTTATTTTCATGAAGTTTAAAAAAAAATTTAACTTTAATTTATTTAATATTAAATTTTAATTTTTTTATAAAATTAAAATTTTATGATTTTTAATATAAAAATTTTAAAATATAAAAAATATAAGAATTTTAGATGTTAAAAAAAACATAATTTTGAGATATCTTAAAGAATTAACAAAAAAATTGGAACGAAAGAGTAATATTTATAAAGAATACAACTATGTCTCTTTTTTAATAATATAAAAATTCTTCTAAAATAATTATAATAATACAGTAATATAGTATTTCAAAATTTTGATCTATTCCATGCATTTTTAGAGCTTTTCATTTTCTAGGTGAGATGACATTAGCTTTGACATCACCAATAAGGCTTTGTTTTTAGTTGCGATTTTGCAAGGATCTTATATTATCTTATATTTAATAAATATTTAATATTTTATAATTTTATATTTAAATTAAATTCATTTATTTATGGTTAATTAATTTTAAATTAAATATTTAATATGGTATTAGAGTTTTTTTTATTATTTTTTTCAAATTTATCATGTGATAAATGTTTTTTTATCTCTGTTACATATTATAAGAATTTATTAAAATAATATTATCTCACATTTAATAAATATATAATTTTTTATAATTTTATATTTAAATTGAGACCTAATATGATCCTCAGAATATGTATGCCATGTTCATTGTGCAGTTAATTTTAGCTGTTGATGTACAAAATCTTTTTTGAAGAAATTATGCAGCATCTGGAGACAAAAAAAAATACTAATTGTTTATCATTACTTTTCTTTCGTTTTCCAACTTTTAATTCTTTTCATTGTAGTGTTTAGCACATTTTACTTAGGGTAAAAACCACAACAAAAAAAAAAATTTTTGAAAGATGAAATAAAAAATAAAAAAGTTACCTTAGAATCAATATATATAGTCCAAATTTAAATAAATCTATTAATATTTATTTTTAAATATCTTATTATTTTTAATTTTTTTCATTAATAAGATATCATTATATAATTAATTATAGCTTATATATATATAACGTGCCAGATATTAACTCTTGTTAATTGTTTAGAGACATGTTAAGAAGAAAATATAGGCACGGCTGCACAAGTTGGGAGACGGGATTTCTTGGGGCAAGAAGTCGGTACCCTACCCAGCAGTTGACTCTAGGGTTTTATGCATCTACATGCCATACTGTATCTCACTCACCTTTCCAAAGTGCTTAGAAAAAAAATTACTGAATGGTTGAATTATAAAATAACAAATGTCTATTTTTTTTACTTATTTATTTTCTTCCTATTAGACCGAATGTAAAATCAACATATTTCTGTCTTTTTTTTTTTAACTATATTTTTCTCTTACTTAGCTTTTCAATTTTTAAGAAATTGCACACACATGTTGGCATGTGCATATTTATAAATATACTCAAGATTTTATATATATATCTTTCTCGATTTTTTGGTTAAAAATTAAAAATCAATAACTTTAATATATCACACACATGTGCACATGTACACGAACTTCAACCTAAATTGCTCTTTTAATCCTTCATTTATATTTGTCACTTGGGATCTTAGGTACTAGTTCCAACACTTGGTTTTTTCCCCTTTGGTTCTTCACTTCTTTGGTACTCGATTAATAATGTAGAAGGGAGATTTCGCCCGATTAGAACATTTGAACAGTCATATAACATTTTTCATTTATGCTTGTCATGTTAATATATATATATATATGTGTGTGTGTGTGTGTATGAAAGTTTTCAATCAAATATGTTAATAGTGATCTACATAATATACAACCCCTTTTTGTTGAAAGTTGAGTTTTTTTTTTGTTCTTTGAGCTTATCCATTGAAACTGCATAATGCTAAATTCGTCTATAAATTTTTTTGATAATATAGAAAGTTAAGAGAAAAACAAGAATATCTCTTACAAACATAATAACATTGGATTTAATAACATTTAATAATATCTCGCTTTTGAAAGAACAAAAATATATGATTAACTCAGACCATCTAATTTAAAGAGATAAATGAATTGATTAATCTTTGTGAATTAAATATCTTAATTAAGTAAAAATCCATGTGTTTAAAATGGACAATAGAATGGCTAATACTATATATATTCATCCTTAACCCTAAGCCATTTTAATTTGTGCACATGTGATTGCCAAATAAAGGCCAAACACAGCACGATACACTACATCACATAAAGGATAGTAATAGTCAATAATGTCTTTATCATTATTATAATGATAGGTATTGTCAATGATATGCTTCCAATAATTTCTCATTCTTCCATAGAGGTTTTTTTTTTTTTTTTTTGGCCAATTTTCAATAGAGTTTATTAGTTGTATATTCAAGATTGTTTTCAAAGATGTCAACTTATAATATAGGTAAAAAATTATTGACAAATTTATTAATTTTATTAATAAAAACGATGTTCAGAAAAAGATTTTAAGGATATTTTTAAAAAATTTTCATTAAAATTTTTTAATTTTTTAATTTTTAAAGGTGTGCATAAACACCCTACTTCAACGTATAAATAAATCCGCCTAGGAGTTTGTTATTGTTTACTTGCCTCTGCTAGCATAATGGCAACAAACCATGTTGATAAGATTTCTTTACAAGGGGAGAAGGCTGGATAAGACCCTAACCCTCGCAAAAAGGTCGGAAAATTCTCTAGAAATCTAGTCCATGGCCAGAGAGCACATGGTTCACCAAAGAAAATGGAGGTTAAAACTTTCAAAACCCATGTGCAATATTTTTCCCCTATTGGATCACTCAGTTTTCAATAATCCCATCCATAAAAATACAATTTCAAGTCGGTCGTACTCTCCACCTACATCAATTAAGTTTTGATTAAATCTTGCAATTTGAATCATCGTATCATATAAAATATTATATTCGTATTATATTTTATATAAAAATTATATGTTATAATTTATATCGATACGAAAATATAAAATATATTTTTTTATTTTATTAAATTTATTAAATTTTTTTTAAAATTTTAAATTATATTATTTTTATATCATTTATTCATATTATTTTTGTATTATATCACCTAGTCGGTTGGAGGATGAAAAATTGCATTCTTACCACTCTCTCTCCACTGATTGTTTGAAGCATTAAAGATTGGATATGTCCTATCCAGCTCATATGGGCCATAATTTCGACAACTGGTCACACGGGTCTTCCAGTAGCCCTGGGCCCATGATCCAACGTTAGAATAACAGTTGAGTCAACTTGGGTTGACAGGTTACAGAGCACCCAATTCCAATCAACCCCTGAAACTATTTGCCGCTGTACTCAGGTGAAACCTAAGTTAGAGATAAAATCGTAATCCGCTTTGTCCCAAATTGAAATTATGTCTTTCTATTTGATAATCTGGCAGATTGTCAAATATATTAAAATAATTTTTAAAAGTATTAAAATATTAATATTTTAAAATTAAATAATAATATTTTGGACCAAGCCTAGACTTCAGAAATCTTATTTAGGACCTTATCAAAGTTAAATCAAATTCACAAACTGAATAAATAATATGATCCGAGGACAGATCTATACAGTATAAAAGGAAAATATTTCGTTCCCCGGTTCCCTTCTCTGGATTTAAATGCCCTTTTTCCTGTCCCTAGGGTCTTTTTTTTTTATTATTTTTTGAAAATCTGGAGTCGTATGTTTTAGATGAGTGAACTTCTCATTAATTATTTGCAAAACCATAGGTAGTAAAAGGAAGCAACGGTTGCCTCTTGTTGGACCATCCCATTATTGGAGCTACACCTATCATGGCGAGACTAACTCCAACCCTATTCACCAAAAGGTTTTACCACGTAATTATTAACTAGTACATAATATCTTCATTTGATCCATATTATGATACCATTATTATGGTTTTTTTTTTTCCTCAGTTTCAAGAAAAAACAATATGAGTTTCAAGGAAAAAGATCATTTTCATTACCTAAAAAGTAATAAAAAACTTTCACTAATTTATCTAATGGTCAATAACACATATTTATCTAAATTTACGTTGAAATTTAATTATTTTAAATTAAAAATAAAAATTATTTTAAAAATAAAAAATGATATGAATAAATAACCAACTCTTTGAGTATTATTAGTCGATCAAAATGCTTGTAAGCAATGTTTTCTTCTATTGTATGTATGAAAAAGTTTAAAGAAAGAGAAATGATTCGAACCTTGAATTTTTGACAAAAAAAAATTACATGTTTTAGGTTCATGATTAATTTATGAGATAGATATGCCTTGATCCGATTCTCATTGCAATCAATTAGTTGATAGTTTCGGTTATATGGCAAAATTTTATTAATCCGACGAAATATAATTGTAAGATTGTAGCATAAAAAATTTCAAACAATCCCCTTTTTTTTCTCGTAATTTTACATGAGTTGCTTAAATCATGTTATGATGTTGATATCTATTAGAAAGGAAAATATTTAAATAATCAAATTCAAAAATAAAAACACAGAAATGGTGACATTTTGTATAAATAATAAATATTAATATCTCTCCTTGAAATTATTTCGGAATGATATTATTTTAATATATATATATTTATTGTTATTTTTAGTAAAAATTTTAATAAAATTTTTATTATTAAATAAATATATATCAAATTTAAATTATAAATAATATTTTTATATTAA